GGGGTGGGGGTGGGGTGGGGTGGGGGGGCGGGGTGCGGTTCGGTCCCTGGTCAGGGAGCTGGGATCCCACATGCCTCGGGGCCAAAAAACCAAGAAAAGGCAGTATTGTAACAAATTCAATAGAGACTTTGGGGATGGTCCACATCAAAAGAAAATCTTTAAAAAAAAAAAAAAGAAGAAACGAGCTAGACGGAATTCTCTAATAAGCATCACCACTGAAACTCTCATTGCAATTCTAAAAATAATAGTTTTCTTTTTGTGGTGAGAAAATGTATTTGCAGCAGAAGTTCTTAGATTTTACACATGAGAAAACTGGATCTGTACCTGAACACTGAGACTCCTTAAAAGGCTCTTAAAAACAATAATTACCAAGTACTGAAGACTTTACATGGGATTTTTCAGGGAGAAGACACAGGGGAAAAAATGAGCCCATCAGTCACATTATTATCGGGTGGCTCCGGTATGACAAGATGGCTTTCCAGTGGGTGTAGATACGCTTCAGCTAATCATTACCTTGTCCAAGAAAGCATTTCCATCCTTTAGGGACCAGCCAGGAAGATTAGACAGCCTGGGACTGCAAAACAAAAGATTAAATTATCCTAAATATATTATAATCCTCAGTGATTTCACGGTGACTGTACTGGCTCCATAAAGTGAAAAACAGTTTGAAATTACTGGCAGCAATGCCTACCCAAAATACTAATCAAAAAGATGAAAAATAACCATGTGGTATCAAGTTTAAGAATTAGTGGCAATGGAACATTAAAAAGCCAAATAGTTTTGCGCTAAACTGGGAAAATTAAAAGAATGCTATGCAGAATAATAAAGAGAAAAAAGAATGATGAGACACTAGAGCATTGTACAGTTTTCCCAACACTGGCCCCGACTTCACCTTGCTTGTGTTTGACAACAAGCCTGAGGCGAAGGCCAAATGGGACCATTATATTGTGGATGACAAAACAGACTCAGAGGGGTCAGGTGTCTGACAAGAGCACTTAAGCTGCCTACCAGCCAGAATTCACCACAAATAAAAATATGAATTCTGCTTGAGTCCACCTTCTGGATTCATTGCTTATAAATGAATTAGTCAACTTGTTACCTGTGGCTTGAGTTTCCAATTCTGGAAAATGAAGCTAGTTTTCCTAAGCGTTATGAAATACATACCTAAGTAAGTAATTTCTAGAAGGTGAGGTTAATTTCACATATACATTACATTAAAGAAGTCTGAATCAGAAATCATTCACTCTGGTAAGCTCAGGATTTAACTGTGTGCTATTGGTTGACCAATACTGGAAGAATTATACTGGAGGTTGAAAATACAAATAACTCAGGAGAAAAAAAAAATGCTGGTAAAAAGAAAAACAACGATCAAGGTGATATATGAAGAAAAGCACACAGAAGTACAAGTTGGATGGCAAAAGGATTTTAGCACTTCAACACAAAATTAGTCTGTGAAGTAAAAATTAAAGGAAAAGTATGGGCGTGGGACTAAAAGACTATAATCAGAAACCAAGTTAACGTATAGTACTGAATCCTCTCTCTAAAATAAGTTTATCAAATTCTAACTTTGTAATTAGATGGTAGGTACAAAAGTCAAATTGAAACATAGATATGTGAATATTTGTCAATCTTCTAGGAAAGATTAAAAACCTGAATAAAATATACATGCATCTAATTTTAGAAAAAAAGTGAGAATTTAAGGGGTAACTTTTAGTTTTGACATAATTACTAGCTCACAGAAAAGCTGTAAGAATGTAAGTACAATGATGTCCCGCATACCCTTTGCCTAGATTCTCTGTTTACATTTTGCCTTTATTAATCAAAAAGTGAGAATTTTTGGATTTCATTCTTGAGAATGAAAATTACTACTAGGAGAATCAAGTTTGGTTGGCATAAATTATACCTGAAAAACGTTTTTTAAAACTCTGGGAGCTTTCCCAGAAAAATACTCTATTACCATTAGCTGTTTAAATCCCATCTCATTTCATAGTCACATATATACCTTCACTTATAGACTTCTTATTTCTTAAAAAATATTATTTACTATCAGATCAGATTAAAAAACCCAGCATTCTAATACAAGTGTAATGACAAGACAATCTGAATACTGTTCTCATTTCATGCACACTAACTCTCTAAAAGAAGTTGTAAATATCCACTTCCCTTTACAAAGAGAACTGGAACAAAGGACATGCATCCTGTCTGTTCTCCATGGGACACACACAAGTCAACCTCCAAATTACAGATGACTGATTCAATTAGTTTTGTCCTCAACAAGTGATTAGAAATGGTACACTGCTTATGGGACTTCCCTGGTGGTCCGGTGGTTAAGACCCTGCACTCCCAATGTAGGGGGCCCAGGTTTGATTCCCTGGTCAGGGAACTAGATCCCACATGCTGCAACTAACAGCCTGCATGCTGCAACTGAAAAAAAAAGATCCCGTGTGCCACAGCTAAGACCTGGTGCAGCAAAATTTAAAAACAAAAAAAGAAATGGTACACTGCTTATCAAAAAAAATTTTTTTTAAAGTAAAAATTTCAGGTAATGTGGTCTTAGCTCTTGCTAAACATTTTTTATAACGTCAAAGCCTTCTATGAAATATCTGTAGTTATTCTGGATTTAAGAAATTGCTAGTAGATGGTACTGAATGCTCAAAGGAGAGCAAGACCATGTTATAACAACAGTGCCAATGATAAAGGGGCACACAAATGCGCCATCAGATGGCAAATGGATGCCGACTACAGAGATGAAAATATTTTGTTACTGGGGTCCAACAAGTTAATGACTACACCATGAAGAGTTAGTAAACTTTAAGCTACCAAAGAGGAAGAGATTTATTACTTTGTTCCTAATGATTACAAAGTTTGAGAGGGAACAGGAGTTACGAGGTGAAGACAGAGGGCGATTTTCCAGAAAGAGGGACAGGAAACAACCTCATCATTTGGTGAAGTACTGAAGGAGGACAAGGTATCGATCTTCACTCATTCATTAATGAATCTTGATTTATGTGTCGGGCACTCAGATGCTGGTGATACGACCATGAGCAAAACGCGCCTGTCCTCCTGAGGGGTTAGAGAAGACAGACAGATCAAGTAATCACACAGAGAACAAGCTGTTACGAATGATGAGGCAGCACTCAGCGCACAAGGCACCACAAAGTCTCCTAACAAGGGACTGGTCTAGGCAGCATCAAGACTTCCTTGAGTCTCTGAAGAACGAGCTGACATCTGGATGGTAGCAGAGTCAAGGGGAAACTGTGTCAAGGGGCAAGGTTTGGAGGGAATAAAGAAAGAAGACAGCTACAAGGCCCAGGACTTTCCTCCAACCATTCTCACCAGGCTTTGGCATGGATATCTTAAAATAAAAAAAGGTTATCCATGTAAGGCCAACTGGCCCGAGGTAGGGGAACACAATCAGATTCACAGGTTGCATCAGACCGAAATTCTCCGGACCACCCAGTTCCAGAAACTTCCCTGGAGACATTCCGGACCACCCAGTTCCAGGAACTGACCTGGGGACTTTGAACCCAGCCCAGCCTTCGCACCTTTCGAGGGGCGGGACTAACGGTCCCCCAGGATACCCGAAATGACCACCAAATAAGGAATACCCTGTGCCCTCCCAGATTCACCACACCCCTTTCCCTTCTTCCCCTATAAAATCTTGCCCAACCCTCACCCGGGTGCGACTTCTCTGGCCCCTTTCTCTCGGACCAGTGAACCTCGCCCGGGAGCACTCCCTAATAAAGCTCACTTGAAGCTTTCCTCTGTTTCGCGGTGCCGTTTCTTAAGATCCGACCTTACAATCCAAATGAAATTTCAAGGAGGGTCCTATATATACCCTCCCCCTCATCCAACTAAAATGCCTCTCTCTGTCCTTCCCATATAGAAACTGGAGTCATAAATGATCTGAGAGAGGAGCTCCTGCTAAATTGCTAAATAGGCTAAGGGAAGGTGGGTTCAGGGAGGGGTGAAGAGCCTTCCTGGCTGAAGGAACAATCTGTGTGACTGCTCCCAGGCAGGAGATAAGACTTCTTTGAAACTGAAAGAAAAGAAAGAGCAAGATACTAGAAGAGAGGCATAAAGCCTAATGTACCAAGACTGACTTGGTATTTATCCTAACAGCAATGGAGGGGACTTCCCTGGTGGCACAGTGGTTAAGAATCTGCCTGCCAATGCAGGGAACACGGGTTCGAGCCCTGTTCTGGGAAGATCCCATATGCCGCGGAGCAACTAAGCCTGTGTGCCCCAAATACTGAGCCCGCATACCACAACTACTGAAGCCTGCCCACCTAGAGCCCGTGCTCTGCAATAAAAGAAGCCACTGTAATGAGAAGCCCGCGCACCGCAAAGAAGAGTAGCCCCCCTGCTCGCTGCAACTAGAGAAAGCCTGCACACAGCAACGAAGACCCAACGCAGCCAAAAATAATAAATAAATAAATTTAAAAGCAATGGAAAAACCACTGAAAGGTCTTAAACAGGTGAAAGACGAGATTAGATCTGTATTTCTAAAAGGTGATTTTGGAGAAAATTGACATCAAGTGCCTTCTGATAACACGTACCATCATTTGTGTGGTATTCCTACCGAAAATAGTAACCCCAACCTAATTATGAGGAAACGTGAGACAAACCCATATTGAAAGATGTTATATAAAATAATTGGCCTACACTCCTAAAAATGGCAAGGTTATGAAAGACATAGAGACTGAAATTCTTCCAGATTAAAGGAGATTAAAGACGTGACCAAATGCAATGTGTGATCTGGACTGGATCCTAGACCAGTAAGTTATTTTTCTTTTTTGCTATAAAAGGCATTACAGTGAAATATGAACTGGCATAACTTGGGAAATGTAAATAAGGTACACAGCTCAGATACTAGTATACTATCAACGTTAAGTTAACTGATTTTCTTTATTGTACTGTGGTTATGTAAGAGAATGTCCTTCTTCTTATAAGACAGGCACATAAGTATAATTTAGGTGGCAAAGGAGCACGGTGTCTATCTTTCAAATGGGTCAGAAAAAACTACATGCATATGTACTATAAAGAGGCAGTGATAAAGCAAATGTGATAAAATGTTAGTAACTGGTAAGAGTAACTGGGAATTGTCTGTAACTATTCTTGCAACTTTTCTGTAAATCTGAAGCAATTTCAAAATAAAAAGTTACATAAAAAGAAGACTCTGGATTCAGACAGGGGCAAGAACAGAATTGAAGAAACTGGTTAGGAAGCTTTACCAGTAATGCCTGTAAAAGAGGATGATGACTACCACAGTAGCACTCAAGAGAAGTAACTGGATCCTAGAGCTATCTAGAAGGTAAAAATGACAATACTTAATGAAAGGTTCGATGTGGGAAGTGAGGAAGGGGGCATCTAAGTGAACTCCCAGCTCTCCGGCTTTTATAACAGGGTGCCCTAAGCCAGGTCTGGGAGGGTGTACTCTCCTCTTCTGGACCAAGCCTAATCATAAACTCAGTTTGGGGTATGGTGAGTTCTGAAGTGCTTTCAAAGGCACATCCGAGGAGAGAAACCGAGTAGGCATTTTGGATTTATGATTATGAATGTGGAACTCAGATGTGGAACTTAACTAAAAATACACATTTGTAAGTTATTGTCTGGATGGTTATTGAGGCCCTGAGCATTTATTTTTTATTTTATTTTTAAAAATTTATTTATTTTTGGCTGCGTTGGGTCTTTGCTGCTGCATGTGGGCTTTACCTACTTGCAGCGAGCGGGGGCTACTCTTCATTGTGGTGCGCATGCTTCTCATTGCGGTGGCTTCTCTTGTTGCGGAGCACGGGCTCTAGGCACGAGGGCTTCAGTAGTTGTGGCACACGGGCTTAGTTGCTCCGCGGCACATGGGATCTTCCCGGACCAGGGCTTGAACCCGTGTTCCTGCCTTGGCAGGCGGATTCTTAACCACTGCGCCACCAGGGAAGTCCTTCTGAGCATTTATTAAATTCCCTTGGTGGAGCCTCTGTGGCCAAGCACTGAATACTAAAGAATTCTCATGTGCGATGGCCAGTTAGAGGAAAATGAATCTCCAACGTAGACAGAAGAGAAAGATTCAGAGAAGTAATGAAAACCAGGACTGTATTATCACGGAGGAGCGTGATGCTGAGTGGCTAAGGAGGGGGATGACAAATGCGTATTACAGCTAATGACGTGGAAGTCATTTGTGATTTACCGAAAGATGTTCTGGTGGTTGGTGTGGGCAAAGCAGACTGGGAAGGAGTTAGGAATGCTGAAGGGGAAAGTGGGGTTGAGAGAAGGTTAAAAAGACTTTTTTTTTTTTTTTTTTACATTTAAAGTTAGAAGTGACAGCATAATTAAATGGGAAGGACTGAGTCAAGATGGAAAGATTCAAGATAAAGGAAAGATTACAAGAGCGAAATGATGCAGAAGGAGAGAAGGGTTGAAATCCAGAGAAGACAAAGGGATTTATTCCTATGACAAATATTTACGGAGCAGCTACTGCATGCCAAGAACTCTTTTAGGCACTGGGGATACAGTGGAGAGCAAACAAAATCTCTGCCCTTATAAAACTTACCTTTTAGTGAAGAAGAAAGACAATATATAAACCAAGTATGTATATATGATATAATGAGAAGTGCTCTGAAGACAAATAAAGCAGGATGAGGGGACAGAGAGGGACTGGGGATACTATTTTAGCCAAGTGGACCTCCACGGTTTCTGGCCTGAGCAAATGAAGACACTTTTTGTAAGGAACTGCCATGGGCTGCTAATCATCCCCTTAGTATAACCTCCCTCTGAGAGGAAAACAATGACAAGGGGAAGAGAGAGTAGAAGTGGATTCTGTATTCACTTGAGAATACAGAATTAGGTAAAGACAGGAATGAACAGGAAAGGGAAAACATGTAGCTAGGACTGTGTGCCCAACTCAGGTTTTGAACACCTAGATGATTCATGACCCTGCAGAGCATGTAGGCCCCCATTTGGGAACGCTCAGCATACCCTGTATTTTATTTTCTTTAGTAATTATCACAAGTATATAGCTATTTTTTGTACCACAAGTATAATTAAATCTTCAACTGTGTAATTCTTTCTCCCCTGACAGACTATAAATTCCATGAGGAAAGAAAAGTTGTCTTGTTCATGTCTGTATCCCCTGGTCTAGGACACTGCAGATTCTTAACACCAAGTGAATGAACATTTTAAGCTTTGGAAGGAAACGGACAATGATATCAGGTTACTTTAATAAAAAACATGCAGTCATTTTTGTTGAGAAATATATATGACACCTATAGTTCCTAAATCAACTCTAAATACATTTTTTTTTTCCCTTCTGGATAATATCTTTGGATGGTAAAAGTATTTCTAAGTGCTGGATGTGATTATAACTGAATTTTATCAGCTATGCATAAAATGTAATCTGGAATTAACTCTGACCTTGTCCCCATCACCTTACTGTATCCCTTATCTCAGAAAAAAGTCAATTGTTGATTTTTTTTTTTCTTCTTTGCGGTAGCGGGCCTCTCACTGTTGTGGCCCCTCCCGTTGCGGAGCACAGGCTCCGGACGCACAGGCTCAGCGGCCATGGCTCACGGGCCTAGCCGCTCTGTGGCATGTGGGATCCTCCCAGACCGGGGCACGAACCCGTGTCCCCTGCATCAGCAGGTGGACTCTCAACCACTGCGCCACCAGGGAAGCCCCAATCGTTGATTTTTAATTATACTTTTCCTAGATGGTTCACAGGGTTATCATTATGAATAATCATTGCACACAGTGAAGTCTTCAGCAGTGAATGAGATACGTTAGATGGTTTAACTAGCTTGTTATGCTTTTAAGCTCTTAAATCTGCTTTAGGTAGCTTTTCTGTCTCCCCTCCTTCATGCGGTATCACTTTTTGCTGCTGGGAGTATATCTGCTTCTAAAAGTTACCCATGCCTTTTATAAAGTGCTGCTTCTAAATAACAGCAAGCTGGAAAACCAATCTCCTAGACAAGGTCTTAGTAAGAGTAAACAGTGCTGCCTGTAGGCCTGGGGTAATCTGTCTACTTTAAGACATGGACTTTGGCTTCATGTAAGATTCTATGATATCTACAGCTGACTAGTATGAAAATAATGCATAGATACCTATCAAAAAGAAATGTCAGGCTCTATGATGTCAAGTCCCTGCAAAGGCAGTTAAATGATTCTAAAATTCAATTCGTGGGGCTCATCAGTTGACCATTTATCAGCTCCTACATGAATTAGCAAGAAAGATGAAATATATATGACCTCACTTGCACTGAGTAGTTGCAGGAACATTTAACAGAAGCTCAGAAGTTATAATAAAGAAGTCAATCAATAAATCAATACAACACTTTCCATCAACCCAGCCAAAGGAAATTATTTTGATGAAGAACATTTTTAAGGGAACAAAGTAAACTTAGGACAACACACAAGGTAGTGGTCATCTTGAGGCTACTGTGTACCGTTTTTCAGCAAACCAAAGCTCATTTTGTCTCGGATGCATCAGCACATACCTTTGAACAAGTGGCAAAGGAAGGAAATTGAGGGTGGAAGTCATGTCCAGTCCACAGTCCAGCATAATGGTGGTTGATTTGAATTTGAGCACATTGCATGGTAAGGTTGGGTGCCCTGACAGGCAATACTGAAAAACAAACAAACAAACAAATCACTTTTGTCAATAATCAGTTACAGAAAAAGCCTAAAAAATAAAGTGAATTAAATAAAGCTGATCATCTTCTCTCATTAGAGCACTGTGTAAATTCAGCTAACTTTCTATATGGCTTCCTCCCTTTTACAGTGCTGGATACCACTTCCCCTAGCATTCAGCATCCTCAAAAATCTCAGATCATATCCAGTTCTTCGCGGGGTACCAACTTACATCTCAGGCAAGTAGAGTTTTGGAGGGGCCAAGGTTATTCTAAACAGGTTTCCTGGCTGTAGTTTTCTGCTCCACTCTCACATGACACTTGCAAATTCTCACTATCCTGTCAGACCTAAGTACTGTGTAAAGTCAATAAAATTCTAAGCTGGAACCTCAAACTGTGCTACAGGTTAGGTTTGCTCCTCTGTAAATAAGTCGGGTGACTTTCCTCCAAGAGGAAATGCTTGGGAAGGGTTAACAAACAAGCATCAGTAACGGGGTGATGGCTCAGCCTTGTCAGGAGAAATGACTCCAAAGGACAAGTGACTCCCCTGACGTGCAGATACTAGGCAGGAGTGAGGGACACCCATTCCCAACCAATCAAGAGCATCTTGCCTGTGGCCGCAGTCCTCAGAAGTCAAAGGGGCACGAGCCACAAAGGCGCATTCAAAGGGGAGTGATGAGGCAAACCAGCACACTGACCTCAAACATCCCTCAGGTCCTCCTCAATGGATTGGGGATGACAGATACGCCACACTGAAAATTATTTACATGGGATGGACCCTGTGTCACCTTTCGTAATTCGACTGCTGTCCTGAAGACAATGAATGAAAGAAGAGAGAAAAGACCTTTCCTCCCACTTCTCTCTTCTTCATTCCGTAGAAGCCTCCCTTGAACAGCAAAGCCCAGAAGATGGAGGGGTCAATGGTTCCCATCTCCTGACAGACACATTCTTTCAGATTTAAGCACAAGTCAGGGTAGCGCGACATCAGTGCTTGCCCCCACACGGCCACCGCAGCGCACGCCAAGTCTTCGTTGCTCGTTGGTTCTGTCACTGGATAAATTTCCTAGTTTTCTCCAGAAGACATTACAGGAACTGATGAGTTTTTAAAACTGCAGGTCCTAAAAGGTCAGGAGCCAAGAAATTTTGAGTATTTTGTAACCTTCTTTTTTGGCCACACTGCATGGCTTGTGGGATCTTAGTTCCCCAAGCAGGGGTCGAACCCATAGCCCCTCACTGGAAGCACAGAGCCCTACCCACTGGACTGCCAGGGAAGTCCCTTGCGAGCTTCTTTATTCCAAGTTTGTGAAAGATAATTATATTTCCCAGTCCATAATTCACAACTCATGGCCTGAAAGGGTACACAGTTACTTACAATGAAAACAGTAACAAAAAAAAATACTAAAAAGTCCAGGAAGCATGATTTGGGTAATTATTCTTTACCTAAGTTCATTCTTTGATAGGTATCAGAACTACGGGAAAAATTTTCCTACTAATCAAAGCAGAGCTATTCCTACCCCACCCTTCTCCATCTGGTTCCCTATTGCTAGCTTGGTCTTTACCCCTATCTAAGAATTACATATTTGTTAAAGAAAAACTATTTCAAAATGAACACAAAGCACCCTGTTAAACCTGCCCCAAACATGACAGAGGACTTTCCTATATTTCTCCTTTATAAAGAAAAAAATCAGATACTCAGAAAAACCTAAAAAGAAAATAACTGAAATGTATATAATGGTTATTTCTGGGTTTAAAGATTATGGTGTAATTTTCTCCTTTCAGCTTTCTGCATTTTCCAAACGTTTGACAATGAGCGTTTACCATACTTTTATAATCAGAAAAAAAAAATGATTAAAACAAAACTGAAAATTTAGCCAGTCACACTGAATGACAAAATCTTTTTTATCTTCATCTTTAAATCACGGATAACAAATTGCAGCAGAAGACAGAAGATGGACATGTAAAAGTTTCTGCTCAAAAGATTTCAGGCAAAGGAAGTTAGCCAACAGACTTTACATTTGCTCCTATCGTCCAAGGATAAAGAAAGGTGAGGAACACTTTATAAGGGCCATAACTGAATGGGAGAAACATTTTCAGAGTGTCTACTGAAAGAGTGCCAGACCTTGATCTCACTAGCTCCAATTTTATGGATCAGGAAATTGAGTTTTACACAGTTTGAGGGGCTTGTCTGAGAAGAGAGAGCCAAAGACACACAGCAAGGTCTCCTGACTCCATAGATCCCACTTGTGCTTCCCAAAGTGCACTGCTCACTTTGTGGGTCAACTCAGTCTGCTGAGACACAGAGTAACTGTCACCAGTAAATGAGGCACCTGGCAAGGTTCTCGAAGTTTCCCTGGCTCCAGCGGTGCTCTTTGCACGTTTCTAATATGCTGCCTACAGTCACCAAGCAGATTATAATCTAGCGAGAGTTAGGGACTAATACACAAAAACATTAAGTAATCAAGTGATTTTAATTTTGCAATTAGAAATAAATATGATAGAAAATTTGAAAAATACCAGAAAGAAAAATATTACCCACAGCATTTCTACAGTCCCTGTCTTTTTTCATATTTGTAAAAGCTATAATTTTAGTGCACCTATTGCTCTGTATGCTGCTTTTAAGATCATGGCTGTGTTTTGTCTATGTTGCATATCACTTCGTTTTATTGGCTGCCTAAGTAAATATACCATACTTGTTTAATTATTCTCTTACTGTTGAACATTCAGGGTTGCTTTCAGTTGCTTTATTACAAACATGGCTGTGGTGATAACTTTAGTGCTCAAGGCTTTTTCCATATTGGACTGTATCTTCAGAGGATTCCCAGAAGTGGCATTAACTAGGTCAAAAATTATGAGCATTTTATGGCTTTTGAAATATGCTGCCAAAATGCTTTCCAAAAAAGGCTGTGCCTATTTACAATGTCATCAGGAATATAGCAGAAGATCTGTTTCACTGCTTATTCCCATCAGCATTATGGTCAAAACCATCTAGAATCTACACCAAAATGCCTCTATAATGTTAGTACATGTTAGTAGCAGCTATCTAGGAGCAATTAAATGGCCCTAAACCGGAAATCAACTACTTGATAAATGAATTAATTTTGAGAGGCAGTTTGAAGAAATGATTTAAAGCAGGGAGTTTGAAGTAAGACTGCCTAGGCTCAAATCTTGGTTGTGCTCATTATTGTGTGATTTTGGGAAAGTTACTTAACTTGAGCTTCCTTATCTGTAGGATGCAGTAATAGAAGCTACCCTCCTAAAGTTGGGAGGACTAAATGAATAGATACAGAACCTGACACATAGTATGTGCTCATTGTTGCTATAGTTATAAAATCATTAAGAGGCTGAAGAGGTCACCTAAATTTTGTTTTTTGGGGGGGCACCTAAATTTACAGGATTTTAGATAAGAAATTCTATTCTGTGTGGCATTCACTAATGTTTTAGACATCTGTGTATCCCATAAGACTAGGTAAAGGGAATGAATAATTTTACAAATATTTTTCTATTGCTAGTTTTCCGTCCAGGAAGATACAGTTACTACTGAGTACAGAAGCGAATATTGTAGTCAACATAAGGTTTTACAATTTTTATTTTTTCTAGCTTAATAAGCACACAGCAGTGCTTTCATGTTAATTTTATTTCTACTTAATAACAAAGCTGCAGATTTTTCTGTGTAATAATTTATTATCTATATTTCCTCATGTGCCTGATTTCTTTTTACCACTGAATAAATCTGGATTCAGAACTTATATATGCTTAACATATATAAGCACTGTTTATATTTTTTGGGTAAAAATTTTTATCAGTTATACTTAGTACATATATTTCTCATTCTCTTACTTTCATTTAAAGAAGTTTTATTATGGAAAATTTCAAACATACAAGTAAGCAAAATTAGTACAGTAAACTCCCATTACTCAGATTTAACAACTATCCATATTCTGCCTTTCTCTTTGTTGCTTTCCTTTTTTTACAAAAATGTATTTATTTATTTATTTTTGGCTGTGTTGGGTCTTCGTTTCTGTGCGTGGGCTTTCTCTAGTTGGCGGCGAGCAGGGGCCACTCTTCATCGCGGTGCACGGGCCTCTCACTATCGTGGCCTCTGTTATTGCAGAGCACAGGCTCCAGACGCGCAGGCTCAGTAATTGTGGCTCACGGGCCCAGTTGCTCCACGGCATGTGGGATCTTCCCAGACCAGGGCTCGAACCCGTGTCCCCTGCCTTGGCAGGCAGATTCTGAACCACTGCGCCACTCGGGAAGCCCTGTTGCTTTCCTTTTGATGCTGACACACTTCTGAGGAATAGCTATTATGTTGACAAACCAATCTGACCTCTGAAAATACTGTTTTCATAAAGAGTCCTAAAATGATCTCTTATGCACAACTGGGACAAAAACATGAGTCCATTTTCCTAAATGTCCTTGCAGAATTCATTAAAGGCAACTCCTTTTGCCTTTAACTTATCCTTGGTTTTCAACACCTGAGTCCTTTAGTAGTTTGAATATATTTCTGAAATCTCTATTCTGTCCACTGGTTTTTTGTTCTTGTTTTTCGTTTTCACCTCAATGCTGTAAAGTTTTTACTTTGTAATATTTGAAAATAAGCTAGAATGACTAGACTTCAATTCTAAAAAAAAGGTTTTCTAAGGATGGAAATGGAAGCTACATTTAATCTATATATTTAGTGAATGCTGCCATTTTTACTATACAATAACATGTCTCTGAGCCAGGTGCAATGCACTGCTTTCTCTTTTATTAATTTTATTTTTTCTCCCTTTACAGTTTAAAATGTATTCCTTTAGCTCATAAACAAGTCAATTATCATTAACATAAATATATGTTTGCTTTTCAATTTCTATTTAATTTCTGCTCTGAGTTTTATTGTTCTATTTCAAGTTTTATCTGTTATACTTTTTAAATTTCTGCAGTTGGATGTGTAGCTGATTAAAATATGCATTCAGGCTACAGACAGCCCTGTAAGTGATGCTCTGGATACATTTTA